ACCTTGAACCATACTTCTTGCTTTGATGCTTATTCAAAGCTTTCAGGTTCAAGCATGGCCAAGTTACAGGTTTCATATATGTCCATTAAAGATCTTACTCGTCTTGGAGTAGACTCTGGTGATGATAATTCTTGATCATGTTGTTGTGGTGGAGGTGAAAAAGGTTCACCCGGGCCTTCTTCCTCAGATTTTTCTTGAGGTAGTTGAGCTGGTATAATGATGTTCTTTTCCACTTTTTCTTCATCCCAATTCCAAGAAGTGTTCTCATCAACTTTAACATCTCGACTGATGATGAGTTTTTTAGTTTGCAAGTTGTAGACACAGTAGCCTTTAGAGATTGTGCTATACCCCAGGAAGATACCTCTTATAGTTTTCTCTTCAAGCTTGTGCCTCTTCACGTCTGGAATATGAATGTAGCATATAGATCCAAAGACTCTTAGGTGCTTTGCTGATGGCTTCTTCCCGTTCCAAACTTCAATTGGAGTCTTATCTTGTACTGACTTAGTTGGACATCTGTTAAGTATGTAAGCAATAGTGTAAACAGCTTTAGCCCAGAATATGTTAGGAACTCCCTTCTCCTTGAGCATCGATCTAGACATCTCCATAACTGTGCGATTCTTTCTCTCAAATACACCATTTTGTTGAGGAGAATATGCGAATGTAAGTTGTCGCTATATTCCTTCATCCTTATAAAATCTGTCAAACTCGCAGGAGGTGTATTCTTTTATGCGATCACTTCTTAGTACTTTTATCCGTTTTCCACTTTGATTTTCGACAAGGGCCTTTAACTTTTTGAATACTCCAAAGACTTCTGATATTTATTTTAGGAAATAGACTCATGTCATTCTAGAGAAGTCATCAATGAAGAGTATGTAGTACCTGTTGTTCTCGTGTGATGGCGTCTTCATCGGTCCACAGACATCAGTATCAATTAGCTCCAACTGATCTTTTTCTCTCCATGCTCCGCTTGTTGAGAACATAAATCGGTGTTGCTTACCAAGGAGACATCCTTCACACACTTCATTGTTCTCCTTTATGCTTTGAAAATCTCTCATCATGTTCTTCTCATGTAACAACTTTAAGGCATGTGTGTTGAAGTGGCCAAATCTTCGATGCCAGAGCCATGAATCATCAACTTGTACCTTCATGGTAATGTTAGTTGTATGTTTTAAATTTAGCGGGAAGCTTCTATTTCTCTTATTCATATTCACTTGGATTATCTCGGCCCTTTTATTTTTGTTGTCTAAGATTTTGCATACTCCTCCTTCAAAGTGAAGTGTGTAGCCTCTCTCCATCATTTGGCCAATGCTTAGAAGATTTTCTTTAAGGTTGAGGACTAGTAAGACATCATGGATGAGTTGTGTACCTTTATCTGTCTCCACCATGACAGTGCCTATTCCTTTTGATTCAACCATACTGCCATTTCCTAGTCGAACTTTGACTTTGACAGACTCGTCAATGCTTTTGAAAATAGTCTCATCCTTGGCCATGTGATTGCTACATCCACTATCCAAGTACCAACTTCCTCCTTTTTCTTTGACTGAGTCTTGAGTTGCATAGAACATACATTGTTCTTGATCATTCTCCTCTGTGATACTAGCTTGATGCCTATTTTTGTTGCGACAATTTTTCTCTACGGCCCAAACTTCTTGTAATGGTTGCATTGTGGCATATTACGGAACCAACAATTTTTCTCTCCGTGGACCAGTCTTTTGCATATAATGCATGGAGGATTTTTATCTGGTTTGTTCTTAAGGAAATTCCTAGAGCCTTCTCTTCTTCTTGAAGTTTCTCCATAATTTTTCTTTCCTCCATTTTCTTTGTTTTTGGGATGAAATTTGAGCTTTGACTGAAAGACATTTTCAAGTATATCTTCTTTATGCCTATACAGTCTTCGCTCATAAGCTTCAAGAGAGCCCACAAGTTCTGTCACTAACAGAGTGGACAAATCCTTGGTTTCTTCAATCGTTGTCACGATTGGGTCAAACTTTAGGGGCATAGTAATTAGAATTTTCTCAACAATTTTCTTGTCAAGAATATCTTTCCCAAAAGCTCTCATTTGATTAACTATTTCTTTAACTTTAGAATAGTAATCTTTAACTGTCTCAGACTCCTTCATCTTCAATAGTTAAAAATCTCTTCTTAGAGATTGAACTTTGACAGCACGTACCTTAACGCTTCCTTGAAACTCCTCCGGCAATGTGTTCCATGCTTCTTTGGCAGTCTTAACTCCCATAATTCTTGGAAAAATTGCATCAGTTACCACTTGTTGCAAGGTGAACAATGCCATTGAATTTTTCTGTTTATTTTTCTTAAACTTTTTTTCTTGAGCTACATTAAGAGCTGAAGTATCTGCGGGAACCATGAATCTTTCTTCTACTATGTCCCATAAATCTTGAGAAGAAGAAAATATTTCCATTTTAACACGCCAGAAATCAAAATTTTCACCATTGAAAATAGGTACATAAATGGTTGATGATTGAGTGGTGTTATCCATGTCTTAGACAAATATCGGAGTGGTTTAATAGTACAAGGGAAATTTTTGAAGTAGTTGGAAGGAATTTGAAATGATATGTATTAATTTAACTACGCCCAATGTATGACCGAACGTAGCTCTAATACCACTATTAGTAGTTGTTTAGTTGATAGTTGATAGAAGATAATTTTAGAGAGTTGTTTAGAAAGAAGGTTATGTCATTGATTTCTTATATAATACATTACAAGATATCAAATGCCTATTTATAGGCTCAAGTCACCAACCTCTCAATGGTGGTGAATGTTTCTACATTATTTTAGATTTTTCTAGAGTTTTCATGATATGTTAGTATCATGATAGTTCTAGATTCTTCTATCTTTTACATACACTTATAATTTTAAATTATTCTACCATTACTATACATATTATATTTAGAATATTTTAGAAATTTGTAGCAATTTCAACCTAAACTAATGTATTTTAAGAGGACAGGTTAATTTTACTTTTAAATTAGGAAAAACCTCATGATTTAAAGAAGGCTTATGAAAGAACTTTCAGAGTCCCAAGTGATTTACGCCTCCCTTTTATTCACACAAACATTCATCGTGAAAAGAATTTCAAAATAGGAACGAAATTATTGAAAAAGAAGTAGTAGAATTTAGTTTAATGAGAATTTTAAAGTAGGAATCAGTTAGAATTAATGTTATATTAAACTATCAAAACAAGAGTTAAGTTTATATAATAATTTAATGAAGTGTTTTAGTACATCCATTTATATAAAAGTCAAGTTTATAAATAAAGTGAAAATCTGGTTACATTATTTTCGTATTAATTAAATGTGGACTTTATTTATTTATAATTTAGGACAGAAATGAAAATTTTATATTTATAAATTGAGATGGATTCAAATCTAGATGATTGTTAGGTTGAGCGTATGTTTGATTTTTCAATGACGAAACATTAATTTTGAATGAACTTATTTTATAAAATTGGTTTTTAATGCATGTTTTGTTTCTCATGTTTAGTTGCTTTTGAGTTCAACTAATTATACTATCCCAAATGAATTTATTTAATGTTAAGATTTTTAGTATTTGGATTTAGACATAATTTTTATTACTTTCAACTCATTTTTAATAAAAATAAAAAATTTACATTATCTAATATCAGTTTGTTTTGGTTTTTTAAAAATAATTTTTATAATATTACATAATTATGTAAAAAAAATTATAAAAAAAACATTTTATAAAAATTTTAAATGAAAATTTGATTTGAATACTTATTCTTAAAATTTTATTTTAAGTATTTCATTTTATCATTAAATTTTTTTTTTTTTTTGAATATCAAAATTTCAAAATTTCACTTAACATTAAAGTTATTTCTAACACATTTTCATAAAAATCAATTTTGAAATACATTTATTTTTAATTGTAATTTTAAATATGGGTTGGTCTTCAATAATATATGTTTATATTATAAGATATCAAAATTAGTGTTTCAATTTAGAAAAAAACAAATATACGAAAAACTTATAATATTTTAAAAAACAGTTTTATAAAATATATTTTCGAAAATATAAAAAAAAATTCATTTTTAAAACACTGAAATAAACAAACCTCTAATCAAATACAAAAAGAATTGAAAAACAAAATAATTTATATTTAGATATGTGAATATAACCATTAAACTTTAGAATTTTGTCAACAAAAAAAAACTATTAAGCTTTAGTATAAAAATAATATTTAAAATTAAAAACTACACGTCTTAAATTCATATATAATTAATTATAAAAACATAATTAGTTTTAGAGATACAATTAATTTATTTTAAATTAATTAAACACATCAAAATAAATTCTACACCTCAAAAATTATTCAAGGGTATGTTTAGTTTGCACTTTTTTTTATATATAATATCTTTTGTTGGTCTTAAAAAAATGAAAACTATAATTTTTAACTTTTGAGTTTAAAAATGATATTTTTATATTAAAATTTATTATTCAATTAACTTATATAAATTTGTTTATGTATAAAATCATTTTAACTTCAACTCACTTTTTAATCGAAAACAATTTTACAAAATTAATTTAAAAAATTAATTTGCACAAATAATATATTTTTAACTTATAGGTCAAACATAAGCTAATACTATTCAAAATAAAAATCAAATTTTGAGATAAAGACTATTATATTGTTCAACAACTAATAAAATAGTTTCTTTTTTCATTCTAAAAACCTAACTTTGTTCCTTATTTTCTGTGAGTACTTTATTTACCTTTGATAATAATGATGTAACCACCCATAAAGTATGGTAACTTTTTGATTGTCAAGTAATGTAAACCTATGGTTAATGTCATCAAGTAATAAAGCCTATGAAGCCTACATTCATCAGATACTACTGCCATTTGTTTATCACAATCTGTGTCTTCATCGCCATGTCTGCCACGTTAGTTTTTTCTTCAAAATCACAGCTGTGCATTCATCTCACACTCTTCACTCTTACCCCCTTTTCATGATTCTAGTCAAAGATGCCATTTTTTTCTTGCTTCAAATTTGGTAAAAAATAAATAACTTGTGTCTTAATATCCTTTATTTACTCCCTTTTTTATTATAAATAGGCCTTCAATGTTAAGCTTAAGACAAGTGCATTTGCATTTGTGTTTTAGTGTGTGTAAGGTTGTTTTTCTCTCTGTTAGTGAAAATGAATAATCAAGTTGAAGAGAAGAAGATCAATGTCGAAGCTGAGAAACCGATTGCTCTTCCTTCCAACCTTGAAAGAACTACTTCTATTGATAATGAACCCAAAACTTTACTTCAAGAAGAATTAAACCTAGCAAGGGTTAGTTTTTTTTTATAATTATTTTTCTTACCTGTCTATCTTTTTAATTGTTGAATTTCTCTATATTTTTATATGTATAATTAACTTGAAAAATGTTTGTGCAGGAAGAAGCTCTGAAAGTGATTAACACTCATCCAAAAGAGGAAGCTCTGAAAATATTCTTGAATGTAAACATTAATTTTTTAATTCTTTATTTTCTTTTTTTTGTTGTTGTACTTTTAAGTTTTATTAAGGATCTACTACCATTTTTAAAAAATTTATAATTTTTTCTAAATGCAACAGGATCTATCATGCAAAACATTATTTAAGCATTTACTCAAACTAGAATTACTTTAATGCAACTCAAAAAGTTTATACATTGTTTAATCATTCTATTAAAACTCAAAGATGAAAGATTATGAGACATGCATGATGTGTTTTTTAATTTTGGTGTTAGGGGTTGAGACCTGTCACAAGCTCAAAGCCATCAGAGGTTGATGTTGTGTGTGATGACTCAGAGGATGATGTTGTGTATGATGACGAAGACGAAGATGATTTTATGTTGTATGATGACGAAGAGGATGGCTATGATGAATGAAGATTGTATTGAAATGGAAACAAAATCTGAAAGAGTACTTTTAATTAAAATAAAATGAAATAATTTACTTGTGGTTTGTTTTCTATAAACAAGTCATTGGTACTTTGATTGTCATATGTTAATGATCTGTGTTTGGTTGTGTAAAGTATGTCTTTGATATATTCCAATTATCTTGTATTATCTCATGTCCCTTGTGGATTCAAATAAAAAAAAAAGTCATGTGGATTTGATAATTTTATCTTGCAAAATAATTATGTTATTTTATTTTTATATATTGTTAATGGTGTAAGAACAAAAGCTTTTATGGAGTGTCAGTAAAAAAAAACTCCTTAACCTTACTCTAGATTTTCCTTGAAAAATTAACTCTGTGGTGGCCGATAACATTAATACAAATAAATTTGAAAACATGCGAACCCAAAAATGGCTAAATTGTTCTAAAAGCTCTTATGAACTAGTACCATCATTTCCAAGAATTTGACTATTTATTACATTTCAAATGAAATAACAAATGTAAAAATAATTGTGCCTTTGTTTGGTAGTAAAAAAGACATTGGATACTTTATAAGTTAACTTTTGGGGCATAAATTTATTGATAGTTTATTAAATTTATTTGATAAATAATAAGTAAAAACATTAAATTTATAATATTTAGTAGAATCATTTTTTCGTTCTAAACTATAAGATATTTTAAATGTTTTTGACAAAATAAAGTGGAGGTGTAAGGTAGTTAAACTTACTTGAATTTTTTTTATAAGCAATAATATTAATTAAAGACAAGGGAGTATTAACCCAATATCAGACAAAATCGACAATAAAAGGAGAAACAACAATTTCCGATTTAAATTTACTTGAATTAATGAGTTAAAGGCTAAAAAGAGTTGAAAACTTAGAGTTCAAATTATTACATATATAAATATATTATTAAAATTTAATTTCTAGCTATTTATCATTAAAAAAAATATCTTCACTAAATATGGAGTGGTAAGCTTATTTATATATAATAGCTATAAGATAGCATTAATAAATGTTTTTGTTGGATTTGCATAAATTAAATATGATTAAGTATTTTTTTAATATATATGTATTTTGATAATTTATATCTAGTGTAATTTATTCATAAAGAAGTGGTACAAGGATATTATGATTCTTTCCTAAACTTAACTAGTTATCCATCTAATTTGATTAGGTGTTTCTTTTTTAAACATTTATATTTATTTAAAGATAATAATTAATTAGATCGATTATAATAATAAAATAGGTGTACATCATTTATAAAAATACTTTTATTAGTACTTAGTAGTGATGTAGTTAGATAAATTAAATACAATAAATATAAATAAATTAACAATAATAAAGTAATAAATCCTGAGCATGTTTAATAGTTGTCTTTAATAACAAAATTTATATATAGAAACTAAAAATCAAATCTACGACAACATGCTTAAAGTATTCAATGGAACTCGACGAGTAGAATTTCGTGTTACCATTCATAAAATAAACATTTTCTTTTTGCTTGCACCATAAGTGCATGATCATATGTTGCCTATTCATATGTTAACTATTCATAAATTTTTTCTGTGTGGATTGGACTCAGAGAGTGAGAAAAAACACTTGAGAGAACAAATAAGACACAAATGAATAACGGTTTCTTTATACTTCAAAAACAAGATTATTGTCTGCGTTGGTCGTGGGCACCAATGTGTTTCAAACCATAAATTACTTTGATTTGTTATCTATTCAAATAAACAAATGGTTTAACTTTATGTTTGTTTCCGTTTTTAAAAGTTCTCATACCAAATTAAATTTGAATATTTTATATGTTTTTGGGAGTATGATAAGTACCCTCTTAAACTTGAGTGGCTCTTATGAAGAATTATGAAATAGTCTTCTAACTTTAGGCGTGAGATTTTAGGTTAGAATAGTATGCAAATGAGACTTATTTTTTTAGTCTTTATAGTTTGTCATTAGGGCTTGATGCTTTAGAACTTTATTTTGAGAACATATGTGTTGAATTTGTGACTTCACGTATAAGAGTAAGGTGAATTGTGTGGTTATGAAAAATATAGTTTTGAAAATTTTTATAAATTAAAATTAGATTTTAAAATAATTTTAAAAATAGTTTAAATATTAAGCAGCGAAAAATAAATTATATAATATAAATTGCAGTAAATTAAGAGTTTAGAGAAAGAGAGAACACATATAATTATAGAGGTTCAGTCAAATAAGAAAAAGATACACTCCTCTCCTCAAGAATTGATCTTGAGAGTACTCAATAAATTTCAGTGATATTAGTAGGTTATACTCACGAACCCTCCTTTAACAAGGAAAAACTGAAGTTTAAAGTTAACTTCTAATCAAGACACTTCCTCGAGTACTGATGACTTAAAATTAGGGTTTGAGTTTGTATAAGGACAATTGGAATTTTAATGCTTCATATGAATTTCATGGATCATTTTGGACTCTCAAGATTGCTCATGTCAAGTTTCAAGCTTTAGATCACATTTTTGCTCAGTCAGTTGATTAGTTGACCTAAAATCAACTATATTGGGGAAAAAGTCAACTATGGTCAATTTATAGTCAAACTTCATAATTTTTTATCCATATCAACATTTTAAGCTCATATATGGGAATTGATAAAGTTTGTATTACAATTCCTCAAGAAATTTGATTAGATCATCAACAGGGCAAAATGATCAAAATTAGGGTTTTTACTAAGAAGGTTCAATTTTTTACTTTTGACCTAACACATGACTTTTTGGTTTGAGACATAATATCAAGGATTCAAATGCATCATTTTGACCTAATGGCATGACTTAAAACATTCCCCAATGATCAATTGATTGATAGTTGAATTTCAGTCAATTGATACACTAAAAAGTCAAACTTTAACTTTTTGATCAAAATTAAGTTTCAAAATTCATATTTCATCAAGACATGTCAAAATATGAAGATTGTTCATCAAGAAATCAAAAAGTCAAAATTATCTTTGAAAAGTCAAAATTCTAAGACTTAGAAATTTTTCAAAGTGTTGGAAAGTTGACCTTTTTTCATGACTTTGTGCCAAATTTTCACCATGATGCAAGATGATTCAAGGAAAACTTCCAACATGAAATTTGTATATCTTAATGAGATCTAAAACATTGTAGGAAACAACTTTTTCTATAAATTCTTGGATTTTAAGTTATAAATTCATAAAGACATGTCCATGAAACAAAAATACTTGTGAAAATTTTCCCTAGTTAAGCAGATTTTTGACCTAATTTCTTGGCCAAGTTTCACATAGTTCCAAATTGAATTTTCAAAAATGTTAAAAATTAAAGTTTTATAGAATGTTACAAGCTTTCTAAAAAGTCCAAGAACTCCTTGAGATCATTCTTGAGCAAGAAGAATCGGAAGCAAGAAGTTAGGGTTTGATTCTTGTTTTACAAGGCAGATTTTTAGGATGAACATGAACCAAATCCATGCTAGGTTGCATAATCTTTGCTTTGAACGCCTCAAACTTATTTGTTACTCCATAATTAATGGTTTACACAACTGCTAGAGCCATGATCCAAGCATTAGAGCCATTGTCCATAAGATTCATCCATTTTTGGAAGAAAGCAACATTGCCATTTTTGAAAAGTGACTTTAATCATAAAGTCAACTTGCATTGAGCCTCTAAATTGTCCCTTCTACATAAGCTTCCTCTAAAAATAAAGAAGAAGCATGTTTAAAGTGATTCAACCATCCTACATAGCTTGTACCACACATATGGATTTTGGTTTTCTACCTTGCTTCAAAAACAAGTAAAATGCCATAATATGTGATCTTGGTAACTTGACCATCTCAACTCTCCAAACCATTTCCTATATATCAAGACACTTTTATGCAACTTAGGACATGATTTTACAAGCCTGAAAACCCCCTCAAACTCCCTAAGACACATAATCACCAAAAATACCTCAAAACTTGCCATTTCTGAGTTTTGAATCCAATCTCTCGATCCACTTATGCGTTTCTTGGATTTTTGTTTTCAAAAGCTTATAAATGTCATACACAAACAATACCAACACCTGCAATACAACTGTAACACATCCATCATCATCTTCCATTTTCAAAAATAGATCTTTACACTTAGACTTCTCCAGCACGATTCAGCCATCCTCAACACAAACTAATTATTGCATTAGCTTCTTGGAGGTTCACTGAAGCTAACTCAATCATCACAACACCTTGAAAGGTCCTCAAACTCATTTCATAATTTCCAGTTTTGAGGTAATTTTATGAACTTTCAACTCTTCATATAGGCATTGTTGGGCTTCCATTTTCAAAGACAAAATGTAGACATCATTGTCCTGAAGCTAACCATGTCCATAGTTTTCATTTATATTGTTTGGGCTTAGAGAATTTTGGGATTGAAATTTCTGGAAAAATTAGGGCTCAGATTAGGGCCAGCAAAATTCTTATTCATCTTTGATTTATAGTTTTAGTTATTTATATTTCTAGAATCGTGATAGAATTTGCTACAATTTTCATGTTTTCCTTTTCCATTTTTGTTGAGAAATGAATGAGATACAAATGGTCTGGCTGGCGCAAGGTTAAAGAAGAAGTACAAGCCATGAACTTGTTTTGTAATATATTGTATTGGTTTTGTCTTATACAAAGGATGTATAGCCACCCCAGTGGTAAGGCAGCACGCGTATTATGTGAAGGGTGTGGGTTCAAGCCCCATCGCTGCCACTTTTAACATTTTTTCTTTCTTTTTGTTTCAATAAGCGCATGGGCCCTAAGACCATTGGGCCTCTCATTTTACTTCCAACATCACCCCACATTTATTGTGTCAGCGCAGGCCAAACTTTATTTCATTTTTTATTCTGATTTAAAAAAAACATTAATGGGCCAAACTCAAAAAACTGTTTTACTCCCAAACACCTCAAACTCAAGTCCCCCCCCCCCCCCCCCCCCCCCCCCCGACTTATTTCTTTTATTATTTTATTTTATTTTCTTTCTTATTATTAATA